GTTTTACTAGCACACTAATCTGGCATCGCCACATTCATTAACTTGACTACCACAATTTTATTGTAATGTAAGTGAAAAATTGTGTGAGTGAATATTTTAATGAATATTTTAATAATCATCACAATTTCTGTTTAAAATAATTATGCAAATGCTATGCAAATTAATATGTACATTTTTACCACCACCGTAGTTTTAATTTCTGGAGAGAACACTGTAAATAGTTCTACCGGTATTTTGATTATACTTTCAGATTGCAATCAAAAAATTGACATTGGACTTTCCTTTTAATGCATTGATTTTTCTCGCCAAAACTTCAACATTTTTAGGTATTTTTCTATATAATTATTTCTTAATTTTTGACTGAATGGACATAATCTACAGTATCCTTGGCTACAACAGGTCTTGATCAAAGTTTCTTGAGAAATATTGAAATTTTACGCGTGTTTATTTTGTAAAAGATGAGGAAAGTTAACTTCAAAATGTTGAGCTGATTAACTATATACCATTATTATTTGATCTTGGTTGTGAGCTATGTTTTGTTTAGGTGCCATGGTCTACTTGAAGGGAATACAGCATTAATGCACAATATTCTCTATGTAAGACTAAGATGACAACACATTATTGACACACTGAGGAAGCTAACGATGTTGAAATAAATATAAAAATGTCATTTCTATAGTGATAATTGATCTTTCTCAACATGAGGTGAGTGCCCTTTGACCTTCTCCCTTCTCACTATGGAGTTCACCATATGTACATGAGAATCTCCCAGAAGTCATTGCAGTAAATTATCTGATTCAATAAATAAGAGCGCTAATTTTCTCTTGTTTCAAATTTTTCATGAATTATAATTAATATTTAAGATTTTCACAAGATGTTTTTTCAGGTTATTTAAAAAAAATGGAGTTGTCTTGTCAAATTCTGAATGATGCTTCAGTTTGCAATTTCTTTATAAACACTAGAAAAGTTCCATTGAAGTCAGCAAAGGCATGTATGTTATCAATTACATGTACTTATATGCTTAAATATTTATAAACAGTGGCAGTTTACACTGTATGAATGAGTTTGACTTCAGCTAATTTGGCTGTTCTAATTTCTGTCGGATGAGCAAGTGTTTGCATGCACCAAGAAAGAACGAAGACCCTTCCTCGTCAATCGGTTCCAATTATTCAAATTTAGTCAGATTTCAAATGGAGAGAGTTGGGTTTATAAGCAAAAACATGCCTTTGCTGACTTACAGTGTAGAACCCAATAATTTTGATGGAAAATGGGATATTTTCTTAAGCTTCTCTACAGAAGCGGGATTTCATGTGTGCCCTTTAAGTTGATATGAGACACAACTGTTGCACAAAGATTTGCTGTGACATAAGTAGTTTGGTTAATTTACTGACGTGTCATCATACACTGATATATGGGGGGGGGGGTACATGTAGTATTTATGAAAAACATCTGGAATGAAATTCTTACTTGATAAACAAAAGGGGCAACAACATTTTGTTTTTTTGTTTATGCCTCGAGGAACTATACAGTGAGTCACATACAATTTTATTTTTTTCTTAAAGACCTTCCTAGCAGTCAACAAGATTACTCAACTTGATTTTGGGAGATTCTATTTTGACTCAGGATTTCTAGAAAATCTGTCCTGAAAATTAAAGCATTCAATTTTGTTGTTTTCACCACCCAGCACCCCTCGCAAAATTGGTTGTGTCCAGAAGAATTCTTGTTGGGATTATAAGTACCTGGGTATCCAAGTCACAAGATTACTCACTTGATTTTTGGGATTCCATTTTGACCTGGGATTCCTAGAAACTCTGTACCAAAAATTAAAGCATTCAATTTTATTGTTTTCATCACCCAGCACCCCTCGCAAAATTGGTTGTGTCCAGGAGAATTATTGTTGGGATTATAAGTATCCAAGTCAAAAAAATTATGTTCCAAGGAATATTGTAATATTTTCACCATTTTACTCAGATCTAGGCATTCTACACCAAACCGTTGGACCAGGAAGATGTACTATAAATGAGGTATGAGTTGGTCTGTTGTTGATACTCTTGCTGTGCTGATCCCATGTATACCATTAAAGCTGGATTAAAATATTCCTCTCTGATACATGTAGAAGCTTCACTTATTTATTTTGAACAAATGAGAACCAAAAAAATCACCATTTCTTATATGTGTAGCTCTATTGCATTTAAGCAGTCCCAGTTTAATACAGATTTTAAAGTACTTTGGTAGGATGGTATCCTTAAAATGCTATACATGTAGGAGTAAGTAACACTGTAACATGATATTAAATTTATTGGTACCTAAGTTACCGTATATACTAACTAGCTAGTAATTATATCATCTAAAACAAAAACAAAAATTCCTGTAGACAGATTTTGTTTCAAATGGTCAGCTTGACAGATATTTAAAAAGTATTAATGAAAAAAAATATCAATAGTGGCACTAGTACTGAATGCCAATGTGTCAGCTTTTGCTTTACAGGACTGTGAATGTTGTATTGTAATACAGTAAGAGAATATGCTTTGATATTCTAAATAGTCACAATTTTGAATGAAACATACACTTGTAAGACGGTTTATATTTAAAATTACATTAAATATTAAAAAAAAAAGTTTCTTGTCTACCTGTTTTTAAAAATGTACACAAACGTTTTTTTATTTTTATTTTTAAACCACTATTAATTAAGTTTAACATTGTGCTTTTACTTTACAATATTTTATATTTTTTTCATTTTTTTATTTTTCTGATGTGATGTGAACATCTTTAGCTGACAACCGGGAAAATGAAGGGATTTTCCTGATTCTAATGTCTCATATAGAATGACAAGGTTCCTCTTTACAAGTATTTCATCAATTCGTGAGATTTATTCCCTGAAATAACATTTAAATTAACATTTTGTAAATATCATTCTATTGATATATATAGGACAGATACAGATCGGAATAGTGTGATATATTGTCAATTTGTAAATAGTTCCCTCTCTCGACGATGGAATAACAAACACGGGAGAAGGGGTCAAAGGATACGATGACACGTACGTAGGTGTTCTGCCATGTTGCTGCATACTTTGACGTCTACGCATCACACTACTAACTTTTAAAGTTCAAGCGTGTATTGTTCTGCTAGGTTATCGTGTATAGTTATTAAACTGATATTAAGGACTACATACCATCCACAGTGTCATTATCGCCTGATTTATTTATTCGACAAGAATTTGTGAAAATCAGTTACCCACCTTCTCGATCGGCCTTTGCCGTGTTTACGGCGGGCTGGCACAGAAAACTCTGGCGCGTCGGAGTCACTTCCTGGCGAATCGTCCGGCAAAAGTTTGGCACCTTCAGGAACTCACCAGTGTCGCCCCCATTCTGTCGTATCATGACGATTTTGTGTCAGCGAATTCTGTGCAATGTAGCAGAGGTTCTATGTGAGAAATCACAGCATACACAGAGCACGATATATCCTGAATTTGACCAAGGACGAAGGTCTCTCACAGTTTGGGTTCATTAGGGTGGAGAACAAACCATTATGTTCAGGGGTGAGTCGTGTCTCCCCGACGTGAACCGAATTCGGCGCGATTTTAAACAAACTTTATTTTCTCCCAATACTCAGCGAGCAAACGTTGTTTTGTATCTTGGTCTTGAAGACACTGAAAAATAAATGGATCTGGCGTTGCATTCTACGATCACACCCTTATAAGTATTTGGCACGCCTCATTCGTTGGAGTGGCGACAGCTGGCTACAAACGTAAACACTCCGAGCACGATAACGCTATTATTACCCAGCGAACTTTAGACACGTCGATCGTCATAGAATCACGATACGGAGAACACATGTTGCGCATACACGGAAATAAACTATATGCTACTAGTAAATAATTATTAGATGTATTGATATTGCGTAAAACACTGATTTTATAAGGGTGAACCATTTTGAAATCCACTCTGCGTGGTAACTGAGATGTTTAATGTTTTGCGGTTTAGATACAGAATGGCTGTGATTTAGACTAGGACTAAATTTAGACAATGTAAATACTATAATACTGATAAACAGATACATTATTTTTCTTTCACATTTTATGCTCATGAATTTAAAACAAAATTCTTGATTGAATGCAAACCTGGCCACACTTTTGTGATTAATTTATACAGGAAATTTAACAAAACCACCAGCAATCATGGCAAATTAAAATGAATTCCAGTACGCATGTTTTCAGACGTTTTTTATTGAAACTGTCATTACATATGTCTACTGAATGTATCGAACACAAACGTGGAGGTATGTATCAATGTACATAGTCAAAGTTAAATTCGAGTAATTAACTCCCGTGGGTGGCTTCCAAAATTGTTATTGTCAGAAGTGGGATTCGAACCCACGCCTACAAGAGTAGACTGCGACCTGAACGCAGCGCCTTAGACCGCTCGGCCATCCTGACACGCCGGTATGGCCTACATATTTATAAGATCATGTTGTCTCTAATCATGTTATTAGTATCAATAAGTACATTTTGATGCTTTTTTCCGTGTTGTGATTAAAACACAACACATAATTATCTAGTATTGTCTGAGAGGTCGCGAGTTTGAAAGTTTATTATCCTTGCTCACAGCATAATGTTTTATAAATTCGATTTCTCAATAGATAGAATTATTTCTATACGATTCAAACAGTATTGTTTACAATACTATAAACATAAAACTGTTGTTTGTCAAAACCATTTCAATATGAATATTAATTCCGATTACGGATCAGATAAGGTTAATTTATGGAACGAGGTTGTTGGGTTAATCAGGTCAGATGATCGACATAATCAGTGATTGCGTGAGGTTTCGAAATTCAGCGGTAAAGTGGCGAGGTTGAAACGCCAGATTTAGGTGTTCTTATTTCTGTGTATTGCATTGAAGCTTGATGCTAGTGTTAAAGCCGATGTTATAAACCCCTTTGATTTTGTTTTCCGACCGTATTAAAGCCAACTTTAACCCGGTTCTGGTTCCAGAGTAATGGCGGTAGGGGGCGTATTACCTTCCGAATCCGATGAACTTGTGAAACTGAAAGCGGTTTGCGAGGAAAATTTACAAGAACAAGAAGACGAGGTAAGTGTTTTTACCTTCAGAAAGGTCAATATAATTGTATTTTCTTTTTGTTTTGTGTTTACTTACTAGACCCGTTGAAACAGTATATTCAGTGTTTTCTTATTTTGAGTGTATGTAACCATGGTAACACGCCAGGATGTAGGATGGCAAACGAATCTTTCTTCTTCAGTTGACAGCTTTGCAGTCTATATTTGAGGACAAATTGACTTTATTGAGTACAAGTTTCGAAGATGCTGAAAGTCAAAATATTTTTAAAGTGAGTACTTGTAGATTAAATCTCCATTCCATTCCTAATTCCATTCCTTGAGATAAGGTCGTAAAAAAAAATGAAAAATTTGTTAGTGTATTAGTATTTATAATTATTTTTTCATGATTTTTTTTTTTAATTTTTCTTTTAAAAATCCTGACCAAAATCTAAAGCTCTGATGTGCACATTTTATTTTAAATAACTCATGTGAGTACCCAGAAACACAATTAATTGTTTTTCTGATCCTGTGCCATTATAAGGCAAGCCCAGTGAAGTTCACAAACCAAAAACTATGGAGTTTCCCCCACCATTCTTGCATTCATACCGGTACATAACGCTCAGCCTGCTTACTTTTTCTCATCTCATAAACATATAGTAAATTTCATGAAGGCATGACTGTTTTTTTATATGAAATATTTATTAATGTTTTATAGATTTTAAATGATGGTTGAAAAACTCAACCAATCATGTTAAAGCGAGAGGGTCATCACTTGTGTACGCGCAGGAATTGAGTCCCAAGCGATGAAAACAACACACGCTAAAAACGCAAAGACTTATGGGTAGACACTAGTTTGTAAACAATGATACGCTATGGCCATCTGTCGCATGCGTAGACGATGACTCCCCACTTTAAAAGATATATGGTAGGAAATCGGCCAATGACACTAAGGATAGTCCTATCACCTGGACAACTGAAATTGCCAACTGAATATTAACTCACTTGTTATGTACGCATATTTTAGCACATATAGTAGACGAAAAATTCAAATTCTACAATTATTCGTTTTAGTAATAATCAATAGTACCGTATGTGAACTGTTTTGGTTCACTGACAATCTGTTTTGTGAGGACAAAAAATGATAAAATAATATGCATAAAATGTGATTTTAGTAGCAGTTTTTATAGACCATGATGAAAACACATTTCCCCGATAAAAAAACGACTAAAATATTGTAAATTTTTTAATTTGTCTAGACATAAAAAAGTACCTTGTAAGACACTATATATCTTTTTTTCAACATACACAAAGCAAAATTTAGAGATTGAGATATATCCATTCCATAGCAAACAATGGTAAAATGCCCTGATATAGAAAATTTGTATTCCATTTTGTATTTTGTCACTGAACAGAGTACAGTGACCTCATATTTTTATTCCATTTTCTTCATCATCGTGACAGGAAATATCAAAAATGAAAAATGACAATATTTTAACTTTTGTGTAGCGTTCTAACTTGGCAGACTATAGTAAATATTTAGACAACATACATCTTGGATAAGTGAGTTTAAAAATTAACAACAAGCCTTGTAATGGGTGTTTCCAATTGGTTTCTATCACTACTGCGACTGCTATTAAAATGGTACAATGCAGCAGAAGGGGTGTTGCTTCTAGTAGAGCATCTACATATCTTGTGTGGCTTCTATCACTGTGAAAGCATATTCTTTGCATTTAAGTGAATCATGAGGGTCTTCTGGGGTGAATGTTTTATAACATGATAAGTTTCCATAAGAGACTTTCATGCTTTCATAATGTATGCTATCCCCACTATACACTTGTTTTGCAGCTTCTGATTCCTGTGCAGTTGTCAGGTGACCATATTGAAATTGAGGCTTGGATGCCGATAGAGACTGATATGAGCAGTACCCAGGCATTGTCTTCAAAGAGTGAAAGCGGTCGCCCAAATATATGCAGATCCGATTCAGGTATGTAAGAATATCAACACAATCAGGGGCACTTTCAGCCTGGGAAATAGGGGCGCAGCGCCCTCATACCCCTTGCTTGTGCACTCATACCGAACAGTCAGTAGATTATGATGAGTTATAACAAATATAGAGTGTTACCAATTTTTCTAAAAAAAAACCTGACAATTACCATGTTTTCTCTGTTATTAATGCATGTGTTATGTAAGTGGTGTGTCTATGGTCAAAATATTAATAATTCATTATATAATAAATACAATTGTTGTTTTATATGCGCTCCTGTTGTAAATTTGCTCCTAATCACGGTTCTTCTAATAACCATGTCCTAATGGAGCATTGACTGGACTGGAAAGTATAGTAGGGTTACTTTAATTGGCCATGTTAGTTTCGAATGTTGAAATAAGACACAATTGGTAATTCAAACAGTTTATTAATATGCAGACATTGCATTCTAATTGTTGTGTAGTGTGTTTGTCTCAAATATTCAATTCTCAGCTGACAGTTCACTCAGCTGTATAAAATAGACCGATGAGTTCTCCGAAGCCATCAAACATTATACTAGTTCTCATAAGTTTTTACAAAATTGGTCATAAATTGCATGACAATGTTCATTAGTTTATTATGTACAATTATGGAACTACAAACCCCATAATTCCATGGTACAATCATGAAGTTAATGTCTCATGGTACAATGAAATAGCATTATTTTCTGTGTTACAGTTAAGATTTTTGAGTAGCGTGTCCTAATATTTCTTGAAAATTGCTATTTTTAGAACATTTCCATAGAACACAATATTAAAGAACAATTGGATTGTTTGACACTTTTTAAAACCCAGATTTTTTTAAATAATTCAGAACAACAAAAAAGTACTCCTTTATTAACAATATATGATTTTTTCAGCCTATGCCACCAGGCTAGATTTTGAGATATTGCATCATATCTCTGCCATAGGAACCTATGGTAAAAGCATTATAATAGTGACAAAATGACGACTTTCCACTAAAATACAACCATCAATTTCTCAAAAATAAGACTGGTGACCCCCAACTTTTTTTAAGTCAATATCCTTATATAGCTTTGGAGTATAGTTTGTTGCAAAATGAATAAATTCTGGGTTTTTGAATTTATTAGTAGGCTTCTACCTTAAAAAACCCATGCTTGTATCCTCAAGGCAAAGTGAACAAGATTCCCACAGATTGATTGTTTTCTTCTGGTCATCACTTTGGATCTTTGCCTGCTGATCTAGATGCATGAGCAATAAATACGTTCATTTTTTCCACCAGGTAAAAGATGGCATTCGACATTCTCTGTGGCTCAACTTACACCGTTACAAATCAATGTGACATTCCCATTAAGCTATCCCTCCGATGATCCACCGTTTTTCACCTTATGCAGTGAATGGTTAGACGGTGGACAGTTGAGCGCCCTCTGTAGGCACCTTGATGCAATGTGGGGAGAGATGTCACAACTACCAATAGTGTATTCATGGGTAGATTGGTTAAAAAATGAATCTTTGAGGTACGTTTGATTATTTTGAAGTTGTTCATCTTATAAAGAGTAGATTTGAGAGTTATGGTTGCTACATTACTGGGCGGGCACCAACAGTGATCACAAAAAAACAAATGACGTGTCTTTTGCAAAGTTTGAGTTCCAAGTGTATGGAGCACAGTGCTCACATGACTCCACATACTCGACATCTGTGTTTTCAGTGAACGCGGCAATCTTTTCAATGCCAACTTAATGATACAGTCATTCGTGGATATCACAATAAGTTGAACAATAAATATGTGAAGGAAAAATACAATAACGATCGAAGCAGACAATATTTTTCTTTCTATCAAATGTGATCTGATTTACAAATATATCAGTTTCAGATTGGTTAATCTGGTTGTTCCAGCAATACATTTAGACACATAGAGGTCATTGGCTAGAAACCAACCAGTACCACTGAAGGTGCATGCAAGGGAAACAAGTTGTTTGTTTTTTGGCTATTGTTCTATTACTTCGCATTTTTTTTTTTAACTGCTTCTGTTTTTTTAAGTTTTGAAAAAATAACAATAAGGTTTGTACAATATGAAAATGTTTGGTACAGCTGGTATAGTAAAATGTCTGTAAAATAGTGTGATCTTTTATATCATTATCATAATTGATATCTACCCCCCCCTCCCAATGCAGATACCATAGTGAATAAGTAACAATAGAATTCATCTATTTCTAACTACCCAAGTCAAAATCTTGGAAATTGTACATATGTTGATAACATTTTGTGAATTTTGAGAATAAATATGTTATTTCTATCAGTTTCCTAGGTTTGGAGAAGACAGTTGTACTATCACCATATCAAAACACAGACGATGATATAGTAGGTCCTGTTGATCCAAGGGCTTTGCCAACATGTGTTGATTTACAAAAAAGCATTATTCAAATACTAAGGTGATATTTTTCATTGTGTATCAGGGGAAGCATTATCATAGAGGTGGGGGGGGGGGGGAACTAATTTTCCATGTGCAATTTTTTTTATTCAAAAGATTTTATTCATTATTTCTAGGCTTGTGGAAATCTTTTGGCGGGGGGGGGGGAGTTATTTAATTTGATCTTCTGCTTT